CAACTTAACTGCTGCACATTAAGAATACTTCAAGACCAGTCTATCATTTATTCATTTCTTTTTAAAAAAAGATCTTACTGATTTATTTGAGAGAGAGAGTGCGCGTGCGAGAGAGCGTGGGTGCGTACGAGAGAGGGGAGGGGCAGAGGGAGAAGAAGGAGCAGACCCAGCTGAACAGGGAGCCGATGAGGAGGCTGGATCCCAGGAACCTGGGATCATGACCAGAGCAAAAGGTAGACACTTAAGCCCTTAGCCGCTTAACTAACTGAGCCACCCAGGTGCCCCTCATTTCTAAAGTTTGCATGGTACTTTAGTATATAATCTATTGTTTATAAGAAACCCCAAAGCAGAAATATGTAACTGTCATTTTCTACCTTTCTCTGGATGGAGACTGGAGACATGTTTGGCCAGCACTACTCAGTGTTTAATATTTCAATGAATAAATTTCAGTATATCCTAGAAAACTGTTACTTTACCGAAGTAATCTAATTCTGACAACAAATGTTAGAAATATAATTCATTCCAACTTTTTTTTTGAAGATTTTTATTTATTTGACAAAGAAAGACACAGCAAGAGAAGGAACACAAGCAGGGGTAGTGGGAGAGGGAGAAGCAGGCTTCCAGCTGAGCAGGGAGCCTGATGCAGGGCTGCATGACAGGGCCCTGGGATCATGACGTGAGCCGAAGGCAGACACTTAACGACTGAGCCACCCAGATGCCCCTCGTTCCAACTTTTGTAAAATATGTTTCTATATGCTTGACAGTGTATTGATTGAGAATCTTTTTTACATTTAGAAAATTTCTTAAAATTGATCTTTTATCTGATATTGCAGAAAATACTTCCTGAGAGGTACTTTCTTTCTTCAGAAGACTTTCTCCTTTTTACTGAAATTTTTGTTAGTATACATGTTTGTACATTGCAGATATATGTACATTCTACACTTTGAATTCTCTTGAAATTCAGTCTATAACTTTAAAAAGTTACCCCTATCAGTGGAGATGTTATTTACTTTTTCTCTCAATAATTCTGAAAGACAGAAATCTGGAGATGAATCAATTGCACCTTTAAACTCATTACATGTTAAACTTATATTTCCTGAATTGTGGCATGTGACTTTCAGATTGGTGGTTCTTCACACTGTCTTTAGTCCAAGTTTTTGTTTTCTAATTTATATTTTAGAAACTTGATTTGTACTTATTTTGAATTTTGTTATGTGACTTATTTTTCTATTCCAATATTTTTATTGTGTTAGATTTTTAACAAGGTATTCCTTAATTAAAAACTCAGCAGAGCAAAATCAGAGTAGCTTTGAGAATAGAGCCACAATAAAACCATAAAAGTGCAAGTAAAATTCACTTAAATAATATATTTCAGTAACTTTTTCTTTTCCCTTATAGAGGACATGTTTGGTATATGTCATAAAGCAATCTATTTTCTTTTCATTATATATATATTTTTTAAAAAGATATATTTGTTTATTTATTTTAGAGAGAAAGCAAGCAAGCAAGCTTGGGGTGGGGGCAGAGGGAGAGGGAGAGAGAAACTTTAGCTGACTCCTTGCTGAGCCCAGAGCCCAACACAAGGCCAGTCTGAAGACCCTGGGATCATGACCTGACGGAAATCAAGAGTCCACTGCTCAACCAACTGTGCCCCTCTTGGGGCCCCTCTTTTCATTATATTTCTTTCAAAACTTGAGTATTCTCAGTAACCACCTGGGTGGCTCAGTTGGTTAAGCAACTGCCTTCAGCTCAGGTCATGATCCTAGAGTCCTGCTATTGAGTCCCACGTTGGGCTTCCTGCTCAGCGGGGAGTCTGCTTCTCCCTCTGACCCGCCTCTCTCTCATGCTCTCACTCTCTTTCTCTCAGTCTCTCTCTGTCTCTCAAATAAATAAATAAAATCTTAAAAAAAACTTGAGTATTCTCTGACCGCCTGTGATCAATCCTGTCCATATCTGTCAGCATATTCACCTTAAATCCAGACATATCTTCAAATATCTCTGTCGTTGTACTCTTTCATGTGCAAGGACACCTGAATCAGAATTTGAATGGATTTTAACCTAAGGTCAGTCTAAAGAAGTAAAGTATAAAAACAATTTAGTAGAATAGATGGATCGATGAATTAAGTGAATTGGGCCCAGGTATTTGATTGTATGTTATGTGGATTATATGGATTGAGGAGTGCTAGAAATTTAACCCCCCCACTCCTTTAGTCTCTTGGAGCTAGTATTATTTATTATTTACTATGTCTTCTATAATTATAAATTTTATTCTTTGTTATTGATGGCTGTATTGATATAATTGCTAATTTTGTACTTTATATTAATATTTATTTTCTCCTGAATACGGACTATCATCCTCTGCAAATTTTCAGAAGATCAGTGAACATCTAATGAATTTATCTTTTGCATCTTCAGGAAGTATGAGCACACTGTAATCCAGGGAGGTTAGGACTTAAAACAGCTCGGAAAATCAAAATAGAGAGGTGAGAGCATGGAAGACACTTCAGTATTTTGCTTAGCATCTAGCTCTCTGTGTTTCTGTGGATAACACTCTTCAATTCAAGCAGCAATCATGAAGCCAATAATGAAACTTCCCTATGTCAGTCCCTAAATTGTAGTTTTTATATAGGGCTAACTATCTAAGTTCTGACCCAATTTTAGACACTTGCTAGTGAAGGGACTCTATAAATAAATACAGAAGACCACAGACATAAATGGAGTATATCCCAGGTAACTTGTGGCCTATGGTCAGCCTACCCTGTCCTAGACCTGATAATGCTAAGTGCATTAGCAACACCTGGAGTTCTTATTGAACATTTAGGTTCCCAGATTCCATCCCAACATTTCTGAAATAATTAGGACTGGCAAATTTGCATTTTAATAAGCACCCCAGGTGGTTCTTATTCAACTGAAGTTTTAGATCCAATAGCTCTATGAGATGCTTGGCAAACCAAGTTCTTATGATTTGACAGGATATAATTTAACTACCCCCTACTTTGTATTCATTATTGAAGATTTAATTGGCATATTTATGTTATTACTTGCTGTAAAATGCACATTAACAGGAATGGAGTTTAGTTTATGTCATTACCTGTGTTGAGATGATTATTCACTGATAAACTTATTAGATTTCAGGTAATAACTCAAACTAAACATTGATTGGTATTGTGGATGGATCCACAATTTGTTATACTTTAATTCATGCTTTACAAGAAAAATAACCCTTAAAATCAGAATTTGAATGGACTTTAACCTAAGATCAGTCTAAAGAAGTAGAAAAGTGTAAAAACAATTTAGTAGAACAGATGAATCAATGAATTAAATGATACATTCCTGTCAGTTTTCTTGTTCATAAATGTTGCTCTATTTTTCAGCTCCTAATAACAACCAAAAGAATTAAAAAATTTTTATCTCTTTTATAAATCACATCATTAAAGTAAATAAATTAACCTTTGGATAAGACCAAAGTCCTTTTATTAAGTTTTCCCTTCTTGGGAAAAGAGAACGTTCTCTTTTTTTTTTCAGTAGTATAGATATATTAATTTCAGTTGCTGAATATTTGATTCCAAGAACTTTGAGAAAGAAAATATTTTTACTGCAGGTAGTGATGAAAAACTTTATTGACACTGAGAGAACTATTAGGTAATTCCAAAACTGTACATTTGGGGTCCTTGAAAAGATTAAATATAACAGAGATGAAAGCACTTGTTTCTGCAAGTGGAAATCATAAATTTTTGAATTATTTTATTTAGAATCATAATGAAGTTTATTTTTGCCCATGTAAGATGCATAGGAAAAAGTGAAACTTCTCCTTGTATAACTGATTTCTCAATAAAAGTACTTTTCTGTTTTTCTAAAGATAGGAACCACCAGCCTGTGCAGTAGTAACAGTAAAGGCATTACAGAGTGATAATATTCTACAGGTAATAATTTTTACCAAAAAGCCTATTGGGGTCTTGACACAATGTGAAAATAAATGTGGCTAAATTGAGTCCTGAGAATATTGCCATTTATGAAGCAGGCACTCTCCTTAAGGTACAATCCTAGGCATTTAATGTATCATAATTCATATAACCACCATATTATTATTGTATGAATGTTATAAAACTGGAAACAGAGACAAAGAGGTTAAATTATTTTCCCCAAGGCACACAGTAAGTTTAAGAAGAGGAATCAGAATGGAGATACTTCTGATGTTGAAGCCAGTGATCTTCTCTCAACTATCTAGGGATGACTGAACACCTCACAGAGAACTGATTCTTCAGATTAGGGTCTAGTAAGGTTTATTTAATCTCAAGAAAATGACAAAGAGAAGTGAATTAAGTGTCAAAACTTGAAGATATTTAGGGGTACCCGCCTCCGGCTCAAGTCATGATCCTAGGGTTCTGGGATCAAGTCCCTCATGAAGCTCCCTGCTCAATGGGGAGTCAGCTTCTCACTCTCCCTCTGCTCCTCCTCGCCACTCATTCTCTCTCTCTCAAATAAATCAGATCTTTAAAAAAACTTGAAGTGGTCTAAATTTGTTATCCAGCAAAATACTAATACACTCAGTATATACAAATATTAAGACTATTTTCAAATGTAACTAATGATAATCATGGTTGGAGAAGAAATTACCTCTCTGAGGTTCTGCACTCAAGAAAACCCTGAACTAGGGGTAAACAATATTACTGTTAATACAAAAGAGACATCATGTGAACTTTTGGAGATCCATAGAGATACAAATACGTCAAAATAGAATGAAAAACTATGAATGAAAGACAAGTTGTTAAATTCATGGAATTGTACTTACACATCAGCCACCGGATGTCGCTGTCTTCCATAAAATGTTTTTAGAACAAAGGCATAATCCTGTTTCTCAAGGACCAGAAAGGAGCTACATTCTCAGATCTCAGCCATTTCGATAAAATTAGATGTAAGAAGTCGAATAGCAGAAGTTCAGAGAGCATGTTTGTTCTAGACTGCTGATTCATCAATTTGTTAATCGGCAGAAACGTATGATGTTGGTCTACACACCCAGCAGCCCAAGAGCCTTGCGCCTGCTCTTGCTTCTGCTTCTCGCAGCCTGGAAGGCGGGGAGCGGCCAGGTCCATTATTCTGTCCCGGAGGAGGCCAAACACGGCACCTTCGTGGGCCGCATCGCCCAGGACTTGGGGCTGGAGCTGGCAGAGCTGGTGCCGCGCCTCTTCCGAGTGGCGTCCAAGGGTCACGGGGATCTTCTGGAGGTAAATCTGCAGAATGGCATTTTGTTTGTGAATTCTCGGATCGACCGGGAGGAGCTGTGCGGGCGGAGCGCGGAGTGCAGCATCCACCTGGAGGTGATCGTGGACAGGCCGCTGCAGGTTTTCCATGTGGAGGTGGAGGTAAAGGACATAAACGACAACCCGCCAGTCTTCTCCGTTTCAGAACAAAAGCTTTCAATACCCGAATCTCGACTGCTTGACTCTCGGTTTCCGCTAGAAGGCGCATCTGATGCGGATGTTGGAGAGAATGCAGTGCTTACTTACAGACTCAGTCCAAATGAGTTTTTCATTCTTGATATTATAAACAGAAAGGACAAAGCCAAAACCCCAGTGCTTGTTCTAGGAAAAATGCTGGATCGTGAAGAAAATCCTCAGCTTCAGTTGTTATTAACCGCAACTGATGGAGGCAAACCGGAATATACTGGATCTGTTACTCTGCTGATCTTGGTGTTGGATGCCAATGATAATGCACCTATATTTGACCGATCCGTTTATGAAGTTAAGATGTATGAAAATTCAGCGAACCAAACGTTAGTAATATGGCTAAATGCGTCTGATGCAGATGAAGGAGTAAACAAAGAAATGATATACTCATTTAGTTCTTTGGTTCCATCCAGCATAAGGCGGAAATTTCTAATGAATGAAAAAACGGGAGAAATAAGAGTAAATGACGCTATTGACTTTGAGGATAGTAACACTTATGAAATTCATGTAGATGTTACAGATAAAGGAAACCCACCTATGGTTGGTCACTGCACTGTACTAGTGGAAGTTCTGGATGAAAATGATAATTCACCCGAAGTGGTTATCACTTCTTTGGCGCTCCCGGTGCGAGAAGATGCTCAGGTGGGCAGTGTCATCGCCCTGATCAGCGTGTCCGACCGTGACTCTGGCGCCAACGGGCAGGTGAC